GACCTTGTGTACAAGCATCAAAAATGAAGTAGCAGATGCTGTTTTGCAGCTCAAATCATGGAGAGAATGTAGCATTACACTTTCTGATTGTTTGAATTAATCTATGAAACCTAATATCGTTCCACGGCCAGGACGAAAACCACACTGCTCCTCCTGCAGCCGAGGTTCGACAATCAGCCGGACTCTCCTCTCCAGCACCCTGGCATAGGCCTTTCCGGGGAGGCTGAGAAGTGTTGTGCTGCCCTGTGGGGGGGTGCTCCAGGAGTATGGAGTCGGGGGCCCTTTATTAGGGGCCATCCGTTCTCTGTACAATCGGAGCAGGAGTCTGGTTCGCATTGCCGGCATTAAGTCGGACCTGTTCCCGGTGCATGTTGGACTCCGACAGGGCTGCCCTCTGTCACCGGTCCTGTTCATAACTTTTATGGACAGGATTTCTAGGCGCAGGCAAGGACCGGAGGGGGTCTGGTTCGGGGACCAGCGGATCTCATCCCTGCTTTTTGCGGATGATGTAGTTCTGCCGGCTCCCTCCTGCCAAGACCTACAGCGTGTGCTGGGGCGGTTCGCAGCCGAGTGTGAAGCGGCCGGGATGAGAATCAGCTCCTCCAAGTCCGAGGCCATGGTTCTCGACCGGAAAAAGGTGGCTTGTCCCCTTCAGGTTGTGGGAGAGTCCCTGCCTCAAGTGGAGGAGTTCAAGTATCTTGGGGTCCTGTTCACGAGTGAGGGAAGAATGGAGCGGGAGATCGATAGACGGATCGGTGCGGCTGCTGCAATAATGCGGACGCTGCACCGGTCTGTCGTGGTGAAGAGAGAGCTGAGCGAAAAGGCAAAACTCTCAATTTACCGTTCGGTCTACGTTCCTACCCTCACCTATGGTCATGAAATTTGGATCATGACCGAAAGAACGAGATCCCGGATACAAGCGGCTGAAATGAGCTTCCTCCGCAGGGTGGCTGGGCTCTCCCTTAGAGATAGGGTGAGGAGCTCGGTCATTCGGGAGAGGCTCAGTGTAGAGCCGGTTCTCCTCCACATCGAGAGGAGTCAGTTGAGGTGGCTCGGACATCTTCTTCGGATGCCCCCTGGTGGCCTCCCTCGGGAGGTGTTCCAGGCACGTCCCACTGGGAGGAGGCCCAGGGGACGACCCAGGACACGCTGGAGAGACTACGTCTCTCGGCTGGCCTGGGAGCGCCTAGGGCTTCCCCCAGCAGAGCTGGAGGAGGTGTCTGCGGAGAGGGAAGTCTGGGAGTCTCTGCTTAGTCTGCTGCCCCCGCGACCCGGTTTCGGATAAAGCGGGAGACGACGAGTACGAGTATCTAATATCGTACCTAAAAATGATCTAATGGCCTGCCTTATGAAATTCCCACCTCTAGTCAAGCACACATACTTCCCATAATCAGGACAAAAGTGAAAGTGTTGGAACAAAGACAAAAAAAGTTAGCAGCATTCCACCTCAAAGTGCAGGAAATAGTGTTTCATAGAGTCTAAATTTAAAACATTTCCAGGGGAAGAATGCCCCTGGATCACCATATGCTACGCAAAGCCTAAAGATGTGATACACCTAGGTGTACACACTATGAAATATTCCTAGCTAAAAGCCAAGGTAGTGTGGTCCATATATTGGGTGTATGGTGCTACTTTGAATCCTATAAAATCTCATGGAAAAACTTCAGCGCTCCTTGAAAGGTTGGGATATTTTATAAGATACGGGATCTGTTATTTATTGGTCATAGTAAGATTGCTTGGGGCAATTATCTCATAATTGACGATTACTTTCCTCACGAAAAACATGACTTTAAAGGACTTTCAGAAGCCTGGAAAACTATTTCCTCAGACACCTTTAAAAAAAACATAATAGAATTGACAGAATAGACAAAAAGAAGCAGAAGCAGTCAAATAAGTAACACAATGCAGTGTGTTCAAAGTCACAAGACCTCCACAGTTTAGACACAGAACACCTTGTCAGTAATGGCAAACTCAATCTTGAGCAATAACAAAAAAAGCCTGATAAACAGGATGATTCCTGAGGCAAAGTCTTTTTTTTTTTTTGTCATTCGCTGGGAGAGAAAAAACAAGAGTGAAGCATGTTAGCCTGGCTCCGTGCAGTCTCTGCTCATACAGTAGTATCCTTTAGTTGGAGGGAACCCAGCCAGCCAGGGATTTATTTGAGTACTGGGACTTGGGTAAATAGAATCGTTTGTCATGGTCCTGGCTGCCCCAGTTCCACACTGGACTGCTTCACATCATGGATGGAAGATGCTGATTTAACCAAACTATAAGCTGTTCATTTCTCCGCCAAGAGGGAGAAGGACGTCAGTAAATGTGCAGTGCAGGCGGTTTGTTTAAGGCCAAAATTCTAAACCTCTCAGCCACCACGTTTCCAGCTTCCTGTAACACTTAAATATCAGATTTAAAGTTGTGTAGATATCTTTGCATTATTGAACATGTTTTAATTAAATCAATATAGATATGGTGAGAATTGACATCATACCTTGTTGGGTGATGATGGTTGTATTTCTGCAGTGTTGATTAACTAGGTTCAACACTATATAAATCATACATAAAAACCATGTCAAAGAGGATTTCTTGACCTTTCCATTGAGATTATTGCACTAAAAAGACACAAATTCCACACACTGCTTTTTGAGAAGTTCATGCAGGAATAGATGCAATAAACTGTAATTATTAATGTTGATTATTAACATATATTTGTCAGTAACCTCTTGGGGTCTCCAAAGCCAAAATTGGTTATTACTGAAAAGTTTTACCCCTTAAATCTTTAACCCGTGCCTTATTTCTTCAAACAGCAAGGAAGTCACAACAATTTTTGACCCAATATTCACATTCTGAGAGCCCTTGATTATCAGGTGGATGATCTTAAGAGATAATCATTCAGTGTGTGGTGTGCTTAGTGTGATTGGGTATGGTCGAAAAGATCACACTACTGCATCGTTCCGATCACAAATCAGGAAAAGCCAGCATGTTGGTTTGTCTTGGCCCGATATCCTGGTATGTTGAACCTGTGGAACGTGATGTACCCAATCAGAAAGTGTTTCCAGAGGGAAAAAGCAAAAACACAATAACTCTCCAGTTTATCAAGTAGAACCGCTGCTTGCACTTCCTGTACTCCTGTAATCCATATCATTTCTTAGTGTAATGTTGTCTGTCTAAATTAATCTCGAACATCTCCATACTTGATCTGAAGGGGTTTTGTGAAATTTACTGTCTGTTATCTGATTAAAAAAAAAAAAAAATTTTTTAATTATTGTTAAATTGGAACTCGCTGGTTTGGGAATCGCCTTGGCGTGACCAACTATGGAAGCGCCAATGACATCACATCTGTCTGTGACAGACAGGTTAAGCCGTGCCCGTGGCTCCACCCACCAACCATTATCAGGGCCAACCTACCAGCCTCAACTCCTTCTAGGCAGGTGAAACGCCTCACTCTGTTATCAAAGAACCATGGATTACGTTAAGTAAGACAATGCAATTGTTTTTTCTTATTTTAAATGTAAAGTGTCTTGTTCTGTTGGCAAAGTATCACTTACCTCCTCAATTCAAGAAAAATGAACAAATTTTAAGGAAAAATTACTTAAAATTTTAATGCGGCGCATGCTGTCAATACGGAGTTACAAAAATTTGGACTAGCTGGACCACGTGCCACAACAAAGCACACATGCACTAAGATCGGTTTGCGTTAGAGATGTCCCGATCCAGGTTTTTGCACTTCCAATCCGATACCGATATTGTTTTTGGACTTCCGATCCGATACCGATACTGGCCAATACCAGCCTATCCGAGCATGTATTTAAGTTTAAGTTAAAGTATTTAGCCTTAGTTGTAAGACTCATGTTGAAAAGGGTTTTAGTACTCTTGATAACATCTAGCCAGCTAAATTAGGTGAGATTGAATAAAACACAATGCTTGGTAACAAGAAACTTACCTGTTTATAAAGAGATAAACACAAACTGGACAAAATTAGGAATAGCAATCTGAAATTGCACAGTGAGCAGTAAAACCGTAAACAGTTAAAGGTCCAAGTATTACTGTAAGTTTTAATAAAAATGCAAAACAGGGGAACACTGGCGCAAAATAGTGGAATGGATCGTTTCAATCGGCGAAACTGGAAAATACGGACCGGATTTTTTTTTAAATACTGGATCGGCAGTCTGGATCGGCATTTTACATGCTTTGCCGATACGCATTTTTTTGCCAATATCGGCGTCCCGATCCGATACGTGGATCGGATTGGGACAAGCCTAGTTTGCGTCCTTTTTTTTTTTTTTTTTAGCATGCCCCCTCATGCAAGGTTTAACACTTGGAGTATAAACCAGTGTTTATTATTAAATGAACAAGACTAAATATGGAGTGCATTTTTGATTTGGAAGTCGTTTTTTTGTTTTTTAATAAAGGCTATTATATTTCTAATTTGATTAACCCAGCCCTAATCAGGGGCCAAATATGTTGATATTTTTAATGCATATGAAGTAGGAGACTTTTATTTTTAAACCTGCCTATTTCTTTACCAAAAAACTGTTTCTTATGATTAACCTGTTCTTCATCAACAATTACTCTTTCATTACATTGTCAAATTTCACAATCTTCTTCATAATATTAAATGTTGTTTATTCATTACAGTTAATTATAAATCACTGTACTTTATAAAAGGGCTTTCACAGGGAGGATGGAGTGTTGTTGTCAGAGGAGATAAAAGAAGAAGCTCTAAGACTGCAGCCTCTTTTGGGCCCCTGCTAGCCTGTATTCAAGGTTCCTGCCCAACTGATAATTAGCTACACTCTGCAAGCCCACAGGCTTGTCATCCAAAGTTGGGGAAAGTCCCAGCTTTTATTCCTCCAGCTGGATTTCTTTTTTCTTCTTTTCTCCACTAAAAGTTCCTGATTGTAACCGGAGCCATGCAGCCTTGATGTGCCACACAATGTCGAGGATAATCTTTGTTCCATAATGCAGCTACAGAGCTGACTTTAATGTTTTTGTTCGCCCCACAGGGTCCACTTACAGCGTTTTGTCCACAATGCCATCAGACTCGGAGAGCAGCAGCTCGCTCAGCAGCTTGGGTGAGCGTGGCAGCCCTGGTGAGTTACACGTTTAAAATGTATAAAGATTTAAGAAAAAAACAACATTTTTCCCTCTAGATAAAAGCTACCTTTTATGTGGAAAGGAGCAAGTTGTATAAAAAATACAGTGACTGGTTGTTTGCTATTTAGACTGTGAGCACATGCTAGTGATTAGACAGATGCAACAACGATTTAGAAACCCTCTACTACCATGCACACAGACAGATGTGCAGAGCCAGTTTGAGGGTAATTCTCTTAGGGACAGAGGATTGAACAGCACATGCTGCTGGGGGGGAAATACCAAATCTAGGCTTTAAAAACTTTGCTGAAAATCATTAACCTAGCTAATGTTTTTTTTCCTTGCTTATTTTTTCATTGTTGTCATAAATAAGTTATTTTAAAGTAATAAATTTGCTATTTTTCTCAAAACTAGGTGTTAAAATTACAATAGATATACACAATTTGATTAATGCACTATTTTTAAAGGAAGCTTTATTTGCTTAATATGACAGTAAATCAGACGTTCTCTTGTAGTTTGGTTTGGATTAACAATGTTGAGTACAATTTCCAGATGGCTGAATCTACCGCAGTCATCTGTTTAAAAAATTGTATACAAGTAGAAACAGCATAAGAAAAGCTTGCTCATTCTACTGTTCAGAGGAACAGTTTTGGAGATTGTTGGAGATGAATGTGTTTTGGTGCGTGTTAGCCTCAGAACAAAAGCAAAAGACCTTGTAAAGGTGCTCACTGGAGATGGTTTGTTTTTTCAGACCGGAGCCAGATTAGAGTTTTCAGATGAACTTGAAGAAAATATCTTAAATTTTTTAGATGTGTCCTTCTCTCTGATTGCTTGTTTGGCCATATTGTCCAACTATGCATTTGGATGACACTGCTACAGCTATAAATACAAGGGAGAAAGGATTATGTTTTGTGTGTTTTGCAATTCTCAAACTGGATAGAATCTAAGGAAACAATATTTCCTAAAGTCATAAACCAGGAAGTTGAAGCTTAGGCATAACTAGGTTTTCAAAAATAATAATAATAAAACTTGGTTAGAAAGTGCCTGAAGTTAACATTTTTGGAGTTGCTATCGAACCGCCCTGATTTCAGAAGAGTGTAAAATAAGATAAAATAAATTGAAATGTCATGAAGCTGTACAAAAGGATATTTAAAAGTATTCTAAGTCTTGTTGCAGAACTAAAAGGTGTCTATAGCAAGGTAGCCTAGCAATAAGTCAGGGACAACATTTCAGAGAAGTGGGCCAAAACTTAAAATTGACTACAAACCAAGACATTCAGCTTAAGGGCCATTCTATCAAACTGATATTAAGGAATCCTATGTAAATTTCTGTCTTTCCAAAAAATGTTTTGGCATTTATAGTAATGTTTCTGACTTGAATAGGAAAAAATTTAATCTGATTTAATATCAGAAAATTAGTGAAATAAATAAAAGAACAAGAACAGGTCTGGGGGAGGAAATGGTGTACTTGTTTTATAAGACTTATTCTCTATCCCTTCGTCTAAATATTCTAATGGGCCACTGTCCATCTATCCACCTATCTTTTTGGTTATTCATCTATTTGTCCTCCCAGCAGGGCATACTAAGCCAAACCTTGGAGAGAATCACTGCTGCATGTTCAACTTAGATTTATACTTTTAAAAATGAATCTGTAAATGTAAGAAATCTGGGCATTAAAAACTACAATTAACTGCAGTCACATGCCTGTACTTGATTATTAAACAACTGTATTGGAAACCAAAATAAATTCTGATAACTTCTTGCCATTTTTTTCCTTTTCATTCTTCTTGATGATTGAAAAAAGTGTTTATCTAAACAGTTTTAGGCTACAGCATAAATTCAGTTGCCATTTGTAGAAGTGTCTTTTCGTTACTGACATGCTGACTCTCAGGTACCTCTGGTCAAGCCTCCTCCCCTCTTCCTGGCCACGTCGATGTGCATCAGGCAAATGAGAAGATGGAGACGGTGCTGTTACAGCTTCGACAAGTGACTCGTGAGAGGGATGAACTGCTCAGACGTGTGGCCTTACCTTCTGGAAATGCTTTTGAGGAATGCAGGTACAGTTAACAAAACTAATCATCAATAAATTAGCTTAAGTTGTTTGCATTAATGCAACCTGTTATCCAGTAAAATCCGATTATGGCTCTGCAAAGCCTGTTTTGTTTATTTATCCTACTTTGTTCTTTTATTCCAATAAACAGACTAAACTCAAGATCAGGTCATGACTATGAGCGTCTAAAGCTGCAGTGCATGAAGGCAATGGCGGACCTGCAGTCCCTGCAGAACCAGCACAGCACAACCCTGAAGAGGTGCGAGGAGGCTGTAAAAAAAGCTGACTTTTATCGGTAAGTGAAAAGATTGTATATGGGCTATTTTATTTATTTATTTTTGTTAATTTTTCAGCAGTCTTAAACCAGCAGTTTGATCACACTGATTTAAGTCTTTTGAAGTCGATAAAATATTCAGAGAGCAAGTTAAAATCAGAGAGTTCTTCATGCCCATATGAGCTCTGGGTTCATTAATAAAACACTTTGAGTAGCAGCACATCTGTGCCATGTGGATACAGCTACGCACGGAGGCTGTAGGTCTGTGGAATAAGCTGTCTGGAGTTGACATGGTGGAAAGCCTGGTCCATTTGTGTGATTTAATGATGCCCTACTCCTTTCCCAAAGTGTGTACAACCGACATCTGGCCTCCAATGCAAACGAACAGATGAAGGATTATTGCCACGTTTAAGCCGCTCCTTCTGGGCCTGTTTGCTTCTGACAGAAAGTATTTATTTATTACTGTCTGATCTGTCCCTTTATGTACCCATGAAGCACCACTCCATATTAACAGGAAATCACATTCATAGCCCGTGACGATAAATGGATTCTCCTATCCATAGCTCTGTTGATACAGACTTAAAAGGTTAAACCCTGCAAACATTTTCACTTTTCAACTCCTCTTAACAGGCAAGTTCATTTCAAGTTTCAAGCTCTGAAAATGTTTTTTTTTATTTTGAAATTTATTTTGGTATTTCCCAGGACTTTGATACATGTGGAAAAATCATCATGTTTAATACCACATTGTATTCTCCTGTGGTATAAAGGAGAATACAGTTCAGGGGTTCATGAATTTTAAAAAATGTGCTTTTGTTTACATTCTTTTTATTTTTTTAAACCCTTGCATTTCTTATGAAATAATGGAATCTTGTACTGTGCCTTTTAAAAGCACCTTTCAAAACCACATCTCACTGTGGCTTTAAAAGTGCTGTTTTTAGCAGTGGTTTTCTTAGTACCACTTTTTTATGAGTGTACGTTTAATATTTGTTTAGTCTACACAGTTTTACAATAGATTAAATAATTTGGTCTCTTGGCTGCTTCTCTGATAAATGCTCCCCTTTCCTGAAACACTGGTTACTTATTAAATTTCATATTTGCCAAAACTACTACTACTAATAATAATAATAAATTAAGCTGTTTAGAGAAATTGTCCCCCAAAAAGAGTGTAATTTGTCTTCCTTAGTAATTATATTATGTTAAAATGTATTAGATAACGAGGGTCTCCTAGAGTTAGTTACATACAACAAATGTTGCCATAATTCAGGTGAAAAACTAAAAGACTGCAATCAGGCTTGTTTAGCTAGTATTGCTTATATTCTTTTCAGACGTCTAGCGAGTGACCACAACCAGCTAAAGGAAGAACTAGAGGCTGTGAGGCAACACAACATCCAGCTGGTCAGAGAGCACAATCATGTGAAGCAGACCTGCGAGGAGCTCAGGAGGCTCCATGATGAAGATGAAAGGGAGCTGGCTGATATGAAGATGCTGCATCAGCAGGTGTTTAACTTTTCTTCTTAAACAAAAAGCAGGATACTTAAAAAGCTAATTCCATCATCCCGTATTGTTGGACTATCTGTGGATGCCCTCTACATATGAGGCAGAATTTAATTAAAGTCCTAATTAATCCATTATTTATGGTAATCAACCAGCATACTCAATTTATGTTAAAATCATTTAGCTCTTTTTAGCATCCCTCAATATTTTTGCAAACTTTTTAAAAACCTACTTCATTCAAGTGTGAACGAAACAGTGCGTAGACATTATTTATAGTACAAATCTTTTCACCGAATATGGTAAAAAAATGGTAACGAGGCATATAATGCTGCTTATCAGAGTTTTGATTTAAATGGAAGTTATATTATTTTTTTCTGATGCCGAGAAGAGAACTATGACATTACAGCTGTGCATAAAGCACTGCCTTTCAGAGGTTAACATGTGCTATTCACATGCAAAAATTAATACCAATAAGGATACTTGTTTTTTCTTAAGCCAGTTACTAAGACATACTATTCAGGTTTAAACCCATTTTCAAGGGAGTGTATTCTTTTAGATGTTGGCTCTGAAGCTCCTTATCTGGTCTGATGTGGACTGGCTGGACAATTTGCGCTTGACTCCAGATGCTGACATAAATGTCGCAAATGGCTGTGCTTTAGTTGCAATTAGATGTTTTTTATGCGTTAATAACCCCACTGGACATTGTGGACAAGGGGTATGAATACTAATCCCCTCTAAACTTTTCTTTACCTGGACATAGTTATGTCTCAGATAATCTTAATTTCATTAAATCTATATTGCACAACTCAAATTGACAAATAAAAAATCCAACAGTTTTTCTGTGGCCTTTAAGAAAATTCTCTAATTTTCAATTGCAGGTAATGAGAGAAGGATCATCTGATGTCTTAAACAAGCTTTATGAAGCAGCTGTGGACAAACTGGATGCAATGAAGAGTGACTATGAGGCTCTGAGGAAGCGTTACAATGAGAAGATAGCGAGTCACAATGCTGAGTTGAGCCGTTTGGACCAATTAGAGGAGGAGAATCACAGACTGCAAAAGACCCTGGATATACTGTCGAAACAGAGAGATGCTGCCATCCACTATCAGCAGCAGTTCTCAACGTCTGTTCAAAGGTAAACCTGCAGAGATGAGGCTCCAACTGCAACCTGTTTATTAAAAAATGTGATCTGCAGGTACTTTGGCTGCAACTGAATTACTTGCATGAAATTCTGCTGTCGCCAATTTGTACAAATGAATATAAATTGCTGTAAAACCATTTTTTGATTTAGGTTTGACAACACTCAACATGAGCTTTCCAAAGCCACAGTCCAGAACTTGGAGCTCCAGCGAGAGCTTGAGCGGCTGCAGTCAGAGGCGACCCGACTTAAGACCCAGCAGTTAAAGGCTGTGAAGGACTGCGAGAAGTACAAGGAGGAGCGAGACTCTGTGATCAGCGAGTACCGCCTGATCATGAGCGAGAGGGACCAGGTGATCAAAGAGGTGGACAGGCTCCAGACGGGGCTGGAGGTGGCCGAGGCAAAGCTTATGAACAATTCCTCAGAGAGGCGGGTGGCCACCGAGGAGCTGGAGGCTTTACAACAAGTAAGAGATAAAACGGGGTTCCTCTCCATGGTCCTCTTGATGTTTCAAAAAGTCTAGAATATTTTTCCAAGTCTGTATAAGAATGGAAAGAAAAGCTTAAAGAAGAGAGAAGTCTAACACACTTTCATTTTATTTCCCTTTTATTTTCTTCTTTTCTTATGCACTTTTTCCCTGTCTTGTTTTTTCCTGTCCTTCCATCCTTCTGTCTTATTCTTCTTTTATTTCTCTATTTGTTTCCTCATTAACATGCGTCCCTTTTAGGAGTTGGCTTCAGCACTGGTGGACCGGGACCGAGCTATCTGTGAAAAGAACGAGCTGCTGGAGAAATACTGCCATGAGGTAAAGGACAAGGCTGAGGCTCAGAAGGAGCTAAACCAGGCCTGCAAAGACATTGAGATGGTGCGTGAGGAAAGAGACGTGGCCCGCAAGGAGAGAACAGAAGCCATCATCCAAAGGGACCAGCTGCTACGAGAGTATTACCAGGCCAGACAGGTACACAACCCAAACGGTTGGATTGATTTAGCTCTCTGAGAATAATCCCCTCATCTGATCTCATATTGTATTTAGAGTGAAGCTAGGTGGTTCCCACACAGTGATATGCTTAAGGAGTTAAAGCATCAGCCTTCAATTTGATTTCAGTGATTGTGGGATTATTTACAGTCTGACTCAGAGTTCTGCATTAGGGAGATTGCCATTAATTAAAATGACGAGCCGCATCCATTAGACTTTTTAAGTGCTCAAGAATAATACACTGCATGAGAAATGAACAGTGTGGTGCGGTCTGATTAAGCAGTTGGCTTGATTTATCCTTTCAATACACTTAACTGCCTTTCCACTGGAGATTTATTTAGAGTGAGACAAGAGTACCATGCTTTACCCCAGCAGACTCTCTGTGACCTTTACATCCATTTTGTGCCTGACAAACCTCAAACTACCAAACTTAATCCAATTTCTGTTATCATATTATATCACAAGAGGATTCTTGGGTTTTTTTTGTTTGACCTTTTATATTTGTAGAATGTATTTAGGAAGTTACATGAACTTTTCCTTTGGAAACTCACAAAAGTCATTGGTAGTATGTTGATTAGAGCCTCCATAAATAATCCTGGATTAAAGTTTCAGCTTTTTCAAGTTTTTCATATTTTATTACAATCGATATTTTAACTTTTTTTCCCCCAAACACATAGGGCCATGAATTTTTTTAATAAAAATATTATTGATTGAAAGCAAATACACACACAGAACATCTAGAAGGATGCAGAATAAAAAATTAATTTCACTGAAATAAAAATATTGTGTGTATAAATTATCGTTTGGAAATATTTATGTTGGCTCGAAATCAATAAAAGTATAGGGATGACCCTATACAACTTTTTCCCTTCCAATATATAGCAGCTTTGAGTATTGATCGATACCTACATTGACCCGATATATTATCTGCACAAATCCGGCTTTAATTTTCTAGTGGAATATAGAAAAAGCTTGATCAAGGGATATCTCTAAAATAAAAACCAATATCAGATCATGACATCCCTTCCAAAATATGTAGTTATTAACTTCTGTTTATGGACTATTAGGTTGAATTCAAGTAAAAAGAAACTCTGGCTTTGCCCGATCCTAGTTGCTCCACGATAAAGCTGAGAAATTACTTCTTTTTAGCATCAAGTTTCTCTGATTTAAGCAAAAACTAAACAAAAAAAGAAGCAAAATGAGGGCTCGCATAGGTCAAGATCATCAGCTTAAATGTCAAACAAAACTACTCAAAAGTCACACAGATTACTGCTTTCCTATTGGTCAAGTAATATAAATGCTAATGCTAAAGCTTTACTAGCCTCTGGTTAGCATTAGCATTGGCTGACCCAGCAACCAGCTTGCAAACAGTACATTTATAGGGTGTAAAGAGATAGGAGGGAGCAAGTGTGCCACTTAGCCAAGATGAGACAAACTTTTAGATATCACATGTATTTTCATTGTTTGACCAGTAGCACATAATTGCAATGAGTGCAAAAATTCTTCTTCACCCTCGGTTAACATTAAGGATTTTAAAAGTGTGTTTTGCTTTAAAATCTGGTCCCACGGCAAAACCTTGTAGAGGCACCTTTTGCCGCAGTTTCAGCTGCGTGTCTTTTGGGATTCGTCTCTTTAGCTTTGCAGATCTAGAGACTGAAATATGTGGAGAGGATTTTTAAGAATCATTTTTTAAGCCACTCCACAGGTTCGTAAAATTAGGTCAGTATGCAAAGTGGCAGAGATATAAGTAACCTTGATATGAAATAAAATTTGCATTTATTTTTTTTTCATTGGACATAATCATGTATGACCTAATGTTTATGCCCTTGTAGAAACAGGATTCTGCAACTCTGGATATGGAGCGAGCAAACAAAGAGATCGAGATTCTCAGGAAGCAGTATGAGGCCATTTCCCAAGAGCTCAAAGAGGCTCTTCAAGAGGCAGAGGTTGCTAAGTGTCGACGGGACTGGGCCTTTCAGGAGAGGGACAAGATTGTGGCAGAGAGGGAGAGCATTCGGTAAAGAACTTTATTTAAAATATGGAGATGAATTCCTTCTGTTTCTCATCTGAATTTAAACGGAAGTATCTGCATTGCTACATTCGCAGCACGTTATGTGACAACCTTAGGCGAGAGAGAGATCGGGCTGTAAGCGATTTGGCTGATGCGCTGAGGAATTTGGATGATACAAGGAAGCAGAAGAACGATGCTGTGCGAGACCTCAAAGAGCTAAAGTATGTCTTTATTCTTTACCTTTATTGTCCCTGTGCTAGATATGCTAGGTATTGTCTGCTTTATCTCAGTGTTAGACTTCAGCATTATTCTCTTCTTTCTGGATCATTTAGGCTACCAGTGAGTTGTAACCTGAGTGCTAAAGAATACATTTCATTTTTTGTTGCAGAGAAAAGTTGGATGACCAGTTAGAGACAGAAGCCAGATATCGGCAGCTGATGGCTCATAGTTCACATGATTCAGCCATAGACACAGACTCAATAGAGTGGGAAACGGAGGTTGTAGAACTGGAAAAGCACAGAGTAAGTTTTTTTTTATTTATTTTTTACATGCTTATTGATAAACAGCAAAGTAATTAATGGGTAATTGAAATATTTGCTTGATCGTTTTTCTAGGATATGGATTTGAAAGCACTTGGTTTTGATATTACTGAGTGTGTAAATGATCCATATTTGCCAGGAGATTGTGGGATATTTGTTTCCAAAGTGGACAAAGGAAGTATTGCAGAAGGAAGATTGAGGTAAATGTCAGTTATACTATTCCGATGATATGATAAAAAAAAAAAGTTTAGATAAGATCAAATAAAAGAAAAATACTGAAAAAAACTGATTTCAGAATCTTCACTGTGCAGGGTAAACGACTGGTTGTTAAAGATTAATGACGTGGATCTGACCAATAAAGACAGAAAACAGGTGCTTAAGGCTGTGTTGAGTAGGGAGGGAGTGATCAATATGGTGGTTCGAAGAAGGAAGTCACTTGGAGGACGGGTCGTCACTTCAATCCAGATTAACCTGGCTGGACACAAAGGTCAGTTTCAACAATAAAGTTAAGACATATTTTATTTAGCTTGATCCTTTCAGAAGTCGTAACCACAATATTTTACATGTTAGACTGGATGGCTTCAACACAGAGTCCGCGACCCCTAGGGGGTCCACGGGGTTAGTGCATGGGGGTCACAAAAGTTTTGGTTGATTAGACCATCAGTTCTGGGGTCCTCTGTGTTAGACAAACACAAAGTAATACTTGCAAAAGTGGCTTTAAGTAAGAATAGGGGCCACATCCTAAACACGATTCCCACCGCTGCTTCACTGGTGAGGAGGGAAATGTTTTTGATATCACCCTGAAATCTTCATCCTCAGTAGATGAATGGAGCTAAAAAACAGGAATGTCATTGAAAAAGTAAAATAAAAAAAATACTTGGAGCTGGGACAACAGCCCTAAATATGCAAACAAGGGCTAAAGTGTTCAAACAATATGCTAACGGCTCTGGTAAAGTCCAGACCCAAATAAAAATGAGAATCTTTAGGAAGACTAAAATATTCTTGTGCACTGATTCTTTCTCTGTCCAGAGTGCTTCTGGAGTTGGTTGAAGGGTGCATCATAACACAAAACGCAAGACACTCTTTCCAGTTCATTATAGTACTAAAAACCACTTATTATTTTACCTGACTTAATGTGAGAGAAAAAAAAAGTGTTAGATTCTTTTCCAATGGAGCCACAGATGTGATGTCTATTCACTTATTTGGCAGCTGTGATGTTCATAATATAAGTTGTTTCAAGTCTGAACTTTTCTTACTGTCTCAGACTGTGGAATCGGTTTGGAGAACGGAGTGTTTGTTGCCACTTTGGCTGCAGGAAGTCCTGCTGCCAGAGACTGTAATCTTGCTGTTGGTGACAGACTGTTGGCTGTAAGTATGTCTTTTAAAAAAATCAAGACACAAGTGAAAATTGTTCATCATTAACTATAGCCTGCAGTGCCCTCTACAGACAGCAAGCATAAACAGCAGCAGTCTTCCAAACCTGTGCTATTGATAATTTGGTTTCTTTGCTGTACGATGATGTATAAAGAGTCCAATATTGTTTTGGAAATAAAATAAATAGGAAATCTGAAGTAAATGCTAACAAAAACATGAATCAATTTGGCTAATGTAAAAAAAAAAAAAATTGCATTGATGAGATAGAATGTTCTACATTAAAAAGTTTATAAAGTCCTTTTAATTTTGTTGTAGCTGTTAACTTGTTTTACTTCAGCTATTTTCAAGATTATGATAATCAAAGCAAGGAATGTTTTATTCTATTTTCATTTTTGTTGCATACAGATCAATGGAAATGAACTTCATGACAAGTCCCTTTCTGAATGCGAGTCTCTGCTGAGGACTGGTGGCAGCTCTCTAACTATCTCTCTTATGAAGGTGAATATCCTGTACTCTAAATGTTAACATAGCTGTTAAATAAAATCTACAGATTGATGGCTTCTGATCAGGTATTCTACATAATGGCACTATATGTACCTCAGATCATGTTTTGGCTTTTATAAAATGTTTATTTGTAACTGAAAAAGGCAATCCCTCATCATGTTTTATTGCAGCATTAGGTAAGTCTGAAAAAATTAACCGGATACTTCTTTTCTCTAACAGTTCTTTTCACAGAGCTCCTCTGGACAGAATTTATTTGAAGCTTTGAGAGACTCTGAAAAGACGTTGCGCCTCCAATCCAGCGAGCTTCACCCCAGGGGCTGCAGAAACTCAAAGCACAATTGCTCAACTCAAACTGACATTTGCAGCTGCAAGTCAGGCAGCAGGGAGGAGGAAGTATGTAACGATGCATGCGATTCACTGGAAAACAGCAGCAGCTGCACTCGTTCCCATCACAAATCCTTTTCTAACTGCTCCCAGGACTCCTGCTCACCTTCCATCTCCCACAGTCTGTCAGAGCCTTATCCAGTGCACAGCTACCAGAGGCAAGACCTCGATTCTCGCTCCCCTACTTTTACCCCTTTGGTCTTGAACTGCAATCCTGCGCAGCCATCTGCAGACAGAGGGCAAAGCCCTACAGTTAAGGCCGGTGGAGGAACATGGCCTAAAGTCATAGCTGGAGCTTCTGTCACTGAATGCACTCAGCTTTCCATCTTCAAAAAACCCAAACAGAGGAAGTCTATATTTGACGTAAATGCTTTCAGGAGGCCAGAGACGGCTCCTAAACTGGACTACATGTCTCTGTCTCAAATGTCCAAGCATTCACCACAGAGTTCAATGTCTGAAGCCCCTCAGACACCCCCCACACCACCCACCAGGAGTGACTCCTTTAGATTTAAGCATCGCCAACAGAATAGCTCTGCGTCTGACTGCACCATCACCACGAACACGCCGCCGGCTTCCCTGGCCCTCGCTGTAAGTCCTCAGGATGAGGGGTTTGTAGGGAGCCAGGAATATTACACCAACATTCCTTCAGGAAAAAAACAAAAGAACCTCCAGAAATCCACAGAGGAGGAAGAGAGCCAAGGCAGGACTGACATGCAGGCAAAACGGAGATACCGACCCAAATCAGCACCAGCTCTCAGACGCAACGTGACTCCGTTACACATTCCTGTTCCCATGCAGGTAACTGTTTAAAACTATAATGCATGTTTTTAGTCAGACACTTTTACCTTGTCTTGTCACAACTACAGACTAGAATAACTTTTTGTCTTTGGTATGAAAGGACCATGGAACACGACTAATGCATTCTGAGGCAGCCATTAATGTTATGGCAGACAGAAGTGGTAGTATCATGCTGTGGGAAAGGTTTTCTTTAGTTGGTCTGTTTGAAGAGTCTGCGATTCAATTGAAATATGGGCAATCTTTAAGAAGGAAAAACCATAAACAGATTTAAGGTTGGGGCAGAGATTATTTTTGCAATAGGAAAGCGATCCAAAACATAGTATGGAATAGTTGATAGCAAGACCAGTCAAGACCCACGGGCGTAACTTTGTTTGGTGTGGACATATCCCCACCATCTTTGGCCTGGTGAAAACAGTCCCCACCAATATTCTCTGCTTTTTTCCCCTTTCCGTTTATTTACTTTAGCCAAAGTTCAGAGCTTACTCTGTTCAGAGCTTTTAGAGTCCGTGTTTTTATTTTCTCGCTGCTCCTGTGTCCCGCCTTTCAGTAAAACATCAAAGGACCTGTCGCTTTGAGACATCTGATTTGTGGTCGCATTTCATTGTATACAAAGTAGCTACTTGGTTGGAGGAGATATACACAGCAGCATCTAATGGGAGCTACTTCGGTGCATGTTTAGGTTAAAGTTAGGAGACGGGTTGGTTTAAAAAAATTAGAGACACCACTGAAAAATCGTTTGACCTGTTAGACATGCAGACGTTTTTCAGCTAAAAATGGCAACAAATCTTAAGGTTATACAAGTTAGTAATATAATGCAAGAAGCTGGAGAAAACGGTTTAAATATCAGCGTATTATTGTTCTCTTGTGTTCTCAACAATAGGAAAGCATTCAATAAATATATGGGTGATTCTTTAACTACGGGCACTTTTATGTCCTTGGATCATATTTCATGAAAACATTTTTAAAAGGGACATTTCACACCTTTATAGTTATCTTTACAATGAAACTGTTTTAGGACATTTGTTTTAGTAGTCTGTGATGACTTTTTCACCTTTTTTCAGCCTCATTTATATGTAAATATTAGTGTTTTGTGCTTGTCCCACACCCAGACTTTTGATCTTCAATGATAAAAATGAATTGTAAAGAAACCTTTTTTCTAATGTTTTAAGATATCTTTGAATAAAATCAGTAAAATAACTAACTATAATTGGAGTAATAAATGTCATACAACTGTTAATTTGATTTTCTAAACCAATTGTTGTTAGTTTCCAAACATGCCGTAACATCAACTCAGTTTGGAAATTAATTGTTATATTAACACACATAGATGTATTTTGTAGAATGCTAGAGACCCATTCTTAGCTAATATGTGATGCTAGCATAGATTTCCCCGCCGATTTCTGTCAGATTGTAATTTCCACCACAGTAATTCCACCACATTGCATTCTTGGGTGGAAATTACAGTGGTGTGGTGGAAATTACATTTACGTGTGTAGGCGTAATTCATAGATACGCATACAAGGCCCTTGTTCTCACATTTTATTTATCTCATTTTATTATTACAACAATGTGGTAATATTATAAAACAACACTTTTTTAGACAAGTTTTGACATGTTTCTAACTATAATTTACATGCTAAGCATCTTGCGGGGGTGCCACCCCCTCTCTCCCACCCTTAGTACCACCTGTGTACAACTGCAATTAATTTATTATTATTTAATAATGTATTTATTTATCATTATTATTTATTATTATGCTCCATAAAGTTTTTAAACAGAAAGGTTTGTTTGTATGGTCCATTCATTGTAATTTCAACAACAACCAGTAATTTCCACCATGCCGTGTAATTTTCACCACACCATTTGTTTTTAAATAAATTGTTGCAAAATTCTAATCAGTCATTAAAACCTTCATAACTTAAGGGATAATGTTCCACTTTAATTAAAAACACAAGTATTTACACATTGAAATGTATCTTGCGATTCCAATGCTATATCTCAGGTTATGGCGAACAGAAGATTTGCGTCTTGTCCTCATTACAATTTATTTACATAATCCATAAATATATGTGTTTAACAATAAAGGCATAAACAGTTAAAACTATATATGAAATTGTTCTTCCAGTGAAAAAACATGTGTATCATAGTATTTTAGAATAAATTACAAATATTTATATGTGATGGAAATTACATTTGTGCCAGTCGAGTTGGGAAATCTGTTAAAAAACACCAATTTGTCTTAAAAAATCAGTATGTTCTCTTATGAATCTTTAAACTAGACTAGTTATGACAACTGATTCCAATGTGAGAATTTATATTTTATTATATTTTTTCTCTTCATGTTTGCAAGGCCAATAGTGCCTGTAGTTAAAGAATCACCCATATGTTGGAGCTCAACTTTGGGAAAATACAAAAACCTAATGAAAGCATTTGGGTCAAGTAACTATAGGTCCATCAGCCACCACTCAAGTGTCCCCACCAAATTTCATTACAAAGTCACACCCTTGTCCAGACCTCGGTGGCAAGGCGAAAACAGAAATAATGTGCAAGGGTTTCAATCTCTAAATTCTCAGTGTTATAAGCTGCTAATGATCTACCCCACAAGACTGCAGCTGCAGTTTTTATTCTAATTGGTAAATCAGATGTGGATGAATTCAGATGTATACTGTATGTTTTTCTTCATATCAAACTTATGGTGTACGTTAAGTAGAATAACAATGAAACACGTTGGAATTGATGGGAATTAGTGTCACAAAACGTGAAGTTATGAGTTATTAAGGGTTGCTCCAAGCCCTTGTAACTTTTCATTTGTTGGGGATGTTTTGTACTTTGGTGTTGATGTAGAGCAGATATTTAAGTTTCCTTTGCCTTTTTTGTCTTCTTGCAGACTCAGTCGTTTTCTAATGATGAACACTCCCCTGAGCCAGTGGATTTATTGCGCTTCTCTCCTTTGAGATCTAATCGGTACATGGTGCCATTTGCCCCGCAGAGCCGCGGTAGCTTCGTGCCACGTGAGTTATAAGCACAACCTAAGTGGTTCATTTTTTTTCTTGTAAAGGAGTGGTGGATTCTCTGTGTGGAGCTACTTATTTATTTTTTTCATGCACTTAATTCTTAAGGAAATTGAAAGCTGCTGTCATCTTTCTGTGTTTCTCCAGACCAGCCACAGCGACGTGCAGCACCATGTCCTGCAATGACTGCTGTCATGAGGAACCCAGTTTACACAGCATGGAGCCATGAGATCCAGAACTGTCCTCCAGTTCCTAGTTCAGGCCTTGATCAACATACTCAAAGGTAATGCATTTAGTGCATTTATTATCTCAACACTTTTCCTTTTCATTGTTGACGCTTTGTTTAAAAATGTCGTCCTATAAGGTTTCTAGCTTAAGTTGTGTGGTTAAACAAAGGCCCAAATTTGTTTGGGTGCATGCAAAAACAACAGTGTACACTCTGCCCCAGTTTTCATGAGCAGATGGCAGGAAGCAAATTCTATCTCGCTCTGGGATGAATAATTGACCACTGGGGGACTTAACATAGGCCTCTTTCTCCATTTATAGCCCCCAGCATCAGGGTCTTCTCAGTTTGGACTTTGGCCACAAGCGCAATGGACACTTGAGTGAGACGCCCTACAGCCAACCACAACACAGCACCAAGTCTTTGCCCTCTGGAGCCAGGCTGAGTACGTATGCTGGCCTAGCTCTGATCTTTTTTCCAGCTTAAAATGTTCCCAAAACAGGAAGCGATATGCTGTCACCCTAATGTAGATAATTCGTATTACTTTTCCAGTATCTGTTCCTGAATTTATTGGCTTTTAAGGTAAACAGACGATGTTTGTTTATTTACAGGGTTCTTGGTGTGGAAAAATATGAAAAAAGAACTGTGATTGTGGGGAAATATATGCATTTCAGGACTTTTTTCCCCCCACTTTATTTCCTGAATGTTTTATCCATCAACTCAAAACCATATGCATGATTCAGTATGTCAGTCTGTTAAGTCGTGTCCTCTAACCCTCCCTGCTCTCATAAAATCGTTGTTAAAGGTTCATCACAACACTTTGTGATACTTATTTCAATTGCACTTACTGATGGTAAAGTAGGTTATTATCTTTAGTTATAAAAGCCTCATATCCAGATTGCTAGACATCAGTGGTGTCAAATAAAAAGCTACAATTTTTATTGCATTAAATGACCTCTGAAAATGTTTTATCTTTGTTTAGGCTCCTCTGGTACTTTACAGTATAGAGCAGAACGTATAAAAATCCCTCTGGCCCATTACTCTCGCTCTACTGGTTCTGACAAAGGTACTTTCCAGTGTGAATCTTAATCTTCTCTTATTAAAAGCTGCTGATTTAAATGATGTGCATTTCCGTGTCTCCTGTTACTACAGGCTCTCTTTCACATTCAGAGTGTAGCAGCCCAACGCCCCCGATGTCTCCTGTTAACCTGGAAACATCCTCTTTCTCCAGCAGCCAATCGCAGAGCTCGGTTTCTTCCCATCCTAGGATATCAGTCAGCCCCGCTCCTGTTGGTGACAGGAGGAAGGATGGGTAAGTCAAAGTCTAGCCGGCTTCTTCTCCTGTCATCATTCAGGAGAGAATGACATGTTTTCCCTTTACATGTCTGCTTCTTGTGATAAAGTGCTCACAGTGCTATAAACATTTGTCATCCATCTCATACTGACTCACCATCTAACCGTATTCCTGCCTATGTCTTATGTATTATAACACCTTGGACTGATTCTTTATGTACTTTTTTTCCCGTCTGCTTCTCAGATTTGTTTCTTCCTATCCTTCTGTAACACGTCCACCATTGAAGGCCAGGTTTCTCTGTATAAGAAGCTTTAGGTTTGTCTGGCTACTTTTGGCACAAACGTTTAATGCACAAGAATCTCTGCACTTAATCTTAGTGCATGATTCAAATAAATGCAATAGTCTTCCCTCATTAACAGCACTTGTGCATGGTTCGTTTAAATTTTTAATGTAACCCAGAAATTAAATGAATGCATTTCCCTTTAGGGCATTATATGTAATCTGCTCTGTGCTTGATAAAAATGCTTTTAAATTCAGTGTGACTACTTTACTCTGAGTTTGAATTAAAACCCATCTTGGTGTATGACATTGTTTAAATATTTTATTAAAAAAATGGGCATCTATGAATGCTTTTAATGAACGTTTTTTGCATCAGAAGAATGCAAGATATTCAACAGATAGGAGCTTGCAAAATAATTCTCACCTCTTCCACTTTAAAGATATTTTGGTCATCTGCAACCATATGCATCTGTTGTTTTTGTTTTTTTGTTGTTCTTTGTCAGATCAGTAAAAAATCACAAAATGATTGACTCTTGCTTTTTTTGAGAACAACTTTCCATGCTGTTACAGCTTCAACTCTTGACTAAAATATCCCAGTGCATGACAGATATGCTTCCTGGGTTCTTCCGTTTACCTTCATCCATCTCCCAATAAGCTCTTCTTTTTCCCTGCTGAAGACAAGCATGTCTGCAGAGTGCATGGTGCTGTTAGCATTATGCTTACTGTTAGAATGCTCTGCTCAGGGTATTCAGCAGTACTTCTTCCTCACCCTTCATATTCTGCATGCAGACCAAACAGTCAAGTTATCTCATCTCACCAGGTCTCCTACATGATTTATAGCAAACCATTTTTTTTTGTGGCTGTTCTTCTGTGGATAACAGATTTTAGTCTAAGGTGGGCTGTTTAAAGTGCATAATATTGTTTTATTTTATATCCCTGATTTAAATCTCTCCACAGTTGTATTCTTGGCCTGCATTGTGTGTTCATTGGTGTTTTCTATTTACCCATATTGTATGAAGCCATTTTATTTGGGTTTTCTGTGTAAACTATATTTCTTTCCACATTAAAAGGATGCACTGCTTTCTCTATTCAATCTCTTAAAAAAATACTAAACTATGTGGTTGTAATGCTAAAAAAGTATAAATACTTGTGTCTGGTAAAAAATAAATAAATAAATAAAGCTATTTTTTTTAAACATGCACAAGGAAAAGATATGCACCTATATGTATATGCACCTCGATCTTTTCTCTATGGCGGTCATACGATCAAAACCAGCCAGTAAGGTACCAAACAGGAAATACGCATAGGGTAGAGGAGATGTAGATTTGACTAATCACAGGCCTCCTTTCTGCGGCCCTGTCTGCGGTCACTTAAAATTTTGGAGAGGAGCACCAGAGTGTCTGCGGAAGGGGCGGGGCATATCTGCGTTAACTGCCACACACGCAGATGACCTTGTTTCTGGGTATAAACCAGGCTTTAATTTTCATCCTGGTGCTACAGCAAGATGATATAGACAATATATGTCAGGATAAGGAACTCCAGCATATTACGGTATTGTTGCTATTTCCGAAATGAAATTGCATTTAATTGTTAATAGTTTGCTTAAAATCTTGTTCCTGTCAAACAATTTAACTTTTATAGCAAAAATGAACCAGTTTTCAATCTTTCAATTTAACGCGTCTGCCTTGTTAAGCCTCCTTCATTGTGGATTAATGCAGTGAGTCACTGCAGGATCTACAAGAATGCTTGTAAGTTTCTGAATTTCAGAGAACTTGGAAACCTCAAATTCAGTACAGAAGAGTTTTTATAGAGCTTGTTGTAAAAGGTTGACATGGTGATCCTGATAAAATCACCTGCAAAACTTTAGAAAAAAAACTGAATGCAGTCAGCATCTCCTAATCATCCTGTCTATTTATATTCATACAAACAGTCTTATACAGAACTATGAGACTAAATACTAAAACTTAAGTTAATGGCAATATTATTCAGTTTAAAGTTACTAAATCAGCAGTAAATTATACAGCATTTTTTTTCCTCGCTGTCCTTGGACAAGCTGTGTCTCTTAAAAATGCTAATGATATTTCGCCCTTATATTGTGCTGCATTTAAAAAATATATATATATATATATTGTGGTGCTTTTTTGTAGCGGATAAATAAAGCAGTGCAGGTTAGTGAGTTTCTAACTTCCCTATGGTTTTTTTTCTTGGTTAAGACCATTTTTAGGTGAGCCACGCAATGTGACGGTACAAAAAGGAGCAGAACCACTTGGGATCTCTATTGTGAGTGGAGAGAACGGAGGAGTGTTTGTCTCCAAAGTAACACTGGGGAGTATCGCTCACCAGGCACATTTAGAGTATGGAGACCAGCTGCTGGAGGTATTGCAAATACACTTAAACTCTACAACAACTTTATTTTTTTCTATTTTCTTTTCAACTTGTCTCTAATAACTAATAAAACAATGTTTTTGCAGTTTAATGGAATCAACCTTCGCAACGCCAATGAACAGCAGGCCCGGCTGGTGATTGGACAACAGTGTGACGTGGTTACCATTTTGGCGCAATATAATCCTCACATGTTTCAGTTGGGGAATAACTCCAGATCAAGGTAAGCTGGATTTTGTTAAAAACAGGAGGCAGCACAGCTGAAAGAAATACTGCATTGACCAAATGTTACACAGTAATATTTGGATAATTATGTCATCGACTTTTCTTAGTTCTCAGATGGAGTCCATCAGCACTCATCTATCTCCTGGCATAGCTACAGTCTCAGACAATCACGCCATCATCGACCCACTGAGCGAACAGGACGACGGCACAATGACTCCTCCATCTAGGCAGACAACTCCTGCTACAAGTCCTCATAACTCTTTCAGGTGGTGAACTTATTTCATTCTCTGCGCTCTTTATGTATATTTTAGGGCTTGTATATGTTGCTTTCTTTTTTTTTTCATACCTTTGAGCCCATGATTGTAATGATGTAAAAGTATGGGCCTCAAATTTGTGCTCATAAAGTGAAAGTTTGTAAGGTGATTAGTCCAGCAGGGTGAAATTTAGTGTGAGAACAGTTGCATGGAGACCTAAGTGACCATTATCCTATCAAGAGATTTAAAACCACTCTTTGCTAAGCCCAGTCTGCCATATGAGAAAGGAACGATCACAAACACTGCAATCCTAAAACCAATATTGAAGATGATTATCAGTTTATCAATGTATTATCTAACATGAGACCCTCATAGTTACCACAGGGGTGAGGTGGTGCCACCATTAGCTGTTACATGAAACATCTGTCATCCTCATCCCTCATGTTTTCAAATTTTCATCCCTGAATACCAAGTTTTCAGTTATAGTTTAATTGAGAAGAGTTTTTTGTTTGAAGACTATAGCAGGTTGTCCTCTTTGTTATAAGCTAGCTGTGGCTATACATTTAAATGTGCCTGACTCAAAATAAAACCCTCACACTATGACTATTCGAAATTGTCATTGCGATTTAAATCTGTGCATAATAACAACATATTAACCAATTTACAAAAGAGAGCTTGGCAGTAAGGAAAGTGTACTCATAGAAAACAGTGAAAGTAATGTAGTTGATTCACAATTAAGCTTTCAGTTAACAGCATTATTTTTGCAACTTTTGGATTTTATATTATCCAATCCCTGACTGCTAAACGCTGATTTTGTTTCAGAGAAATACATGATCTGCTTTGTAAAAATTAAAAGGGTGATAGCAATTTATTTTCCATGCATATAAAGGTCTCGATTTTTGTTTTTGTAATATAACTATTTTGCGGGTACATTTCTAAAGCCAGTCAACCTGCAGGTTTTTATTTTGATATCCTAATAGGTTTTAACTGTTGTTTATTTCTGCAGAGTTCCAGGCTCGCTTTTACTGCGAGCTGCAGAGCCTCGCCTGGTAAGGCTGAAGAGGATTGATGCAGAGCTGGGGTTGCAGATCTGTGGGGGAAACATTTGTGGTATCTTTTTGGAGATGCTGGATGATGAAAGCCCATTAAAGGGTCCTGATGGTCTGCTACCTGGTGACCTAATACTGGAGGTATCAGCATAGATTATCAGTGTTTGTTATGTGTAAAGAATCACTTTTTTTGAGAAAATATCTTGTATAGTCAAAGTAAGAAAACATTTTGGCAACTATTTAGTTGTAAGCTTTGGTTTAGCTGGAAAAGCATCCTTTATAGTCATATCTGCTCTGAGCATTCTGATAGATTTTACTGTAAACTCCATTGTTCTTTGTCCCTGGCAGCAATGTGTCCTATTTGTCAGTTGAACAATTGATTTCTTTCAGTACAATGGGATCAGCATGAAGAATAAAACTAAAGAAGATGCTTACCTGGAAATGTTGAAACCGACTGAAACGGTCATGTTCAAGGTCCAGAACTGTGTGGATAGCCTGGCTGACATCAAAGCATCACAAGGAGACGGATTTTTCATTAGGTGCTTAGAAGTTTTTTATTTTATTTGTGTTGTTAAATATTTGTGAGTCCTATTAAATAAAGCAGAATAATTCTGCTTTGAAAGTGAAATCATTAGGAGTCTATAAATAAATGCAGATATATTACGCATCTGTTTTTTTATGTTATTAATACTTAAACATTTAATCTGTTCTACTGTTCAAAGTTTCCTTTCCCAATGAGCAATAAACAATGTTTTTAACCTGCTTATATTTTGTCAGAGCACTTTATGAACGGGTTGCAGAAGCAGAGCAGGAGCTGAGCTTTAAAAAGGATGACATCCTATATGTTGAGGACACGCTACCAAATGGTAACTTTGGCTACTGGATGGCCTGGCAGCTCGATGAAAATGCACAGCGACTGGGGAAAGGACAGATCCCAAGCAAATACATGTAAGTTCACCTAAATATTTTATTTATTTTTAAATCAATTTTCAGGTTTTTGAATCAACTAACTATATTGAATTTATAATTTGAGAAAAAATTCTCTTGTCTCGTCAAGAAGTAAATAGAATGACTTCTGCTTTTTAGGCCTTATTGATGGCAAGTAAAATGAGCCCTGAGAGTTGATATGCAAGGAACAAATAGTTTTATTTTACTCTGCAGAGGAGAACAACACGCAGTTGAACTGTTAATGAGGCTCTGGCGGGTTTGTTTCCCACCCCTGCATATAAAGAGAATTCTCACACACGAACATTGGGTTTTCCCAAGAGAAATTCCTTTGAATTCATCCAAGATATACATTTTTCACTAGTCAGTTAAAAACCTTTCAAAGCAGCTGTCTCTTCCATTCATGGCATTAGGGAGTCTTAAAGACCTTGAGGGGCATGTATCTATATTTCACCCTTGTCTAGAGTTGGGAGGCAACCGCTCTACGCCATCTCACTCCCAACTCCCCACATAACTTCCAGCAGAGACAGGTTCAAGGTTTCTTCTAATTGGCTGAGAAAAGGCATAGTCTAATATCCCGTCTCACAGTAAGTTTATATTATAAGCTATATTAAAACTGCATTTTTTTATGTATAAAGCCGTCTCATAGTATATATATTAAGAAAAAAATAATTTGATGCTGCATAATGTCAGATATAAGGTAAAAAAAAAAAAAAAACTATTCCAAAAATTTGCCAATGTTGGACACAACCAGTATATGAAGAAAGGTACCAGGTGGACATTTCCACTTTCCACAAGTTGGGTTAACATCTTGGTACACTCTGCTAAATGTATAAACAATAAACACTCATGCCACCTTTATCTTGACAAATGCAACCGATGGATAATCAGGTTCACGGACAAGATTCAGATCCTGTGTTGGTAATGCTGGCTGCAAAAAAATCACTGAGGGTCTGAAATTATACAATTTCGAACTTTTGCCTCTAGAAGTTGGTTTCGGTTACAAAACATGTTTTGGATGGATTTGAGTTAATCTGCACTTCGATATGTCTTTAAGGATGGATCAGGAGTTTTACAGAAGACATGGAATGGCTGATATGAAAGATGAGAATGGAACTAATAAGTCCATGTCTGCTGCTGCTCGGAGGTCCTTCTTCCGTCGGAGGCTGAAGAACAAACGTAACGGCTCTAAGGATGGGAAGGAACTGATGGCTCTTGACAACTTAAGCACAGATTCTCTACCCATCCCAGAAGGTGAGAATTCTTTTACCCCAGATGGCTTCATAGCTGACTTCAAATCATACATTAACAATGACCAACTTTAACTGAACACATTGTGAATGGCTCTTGAACCATTTTAAATTTTGTCTTGACAACTTTATTTAATAGACCAGCAGAAAGTAGCTAATCATCACTGTAAAGGTCTCCTGTTAAATATTGAATGATCAGTTTTAATTGAACCTACATCTTTGTCTCTGTTTTTATTGCCACATTCCTGTCCTGAAATACAGTGAAAAAGCATTCTTGGTATTTTTGCACTATGCCAGTCGCAGGGAAGTCAGGGATGTCAGTTTGAGCCTACAAAACAGAACATAGCTAAATAAATACTCCTAGCCTCACAATATTCATCTCAGGGTAAATAGTCCATCCCTGTAATTGTTACATGCAGCTGTGTCAGTATTCAGCTCATTTTTTTATCTCTTGCTCAGATGGAGGGAACCTAATGTACCAACGGGTTCAGAAGGTGGATTGCTCGTCTCCCAGACCTGTGCTGATTTTAGGTCCATTAGTAGAGGCGTGCAAAGACCTACTTGTAACAGAGGCTCCTGCTAACTTCTGCCGCTGCCTGCCTGGTGAGAAAGGAACCCAAATATAGTTCACATAGTGTTGATTTATTATGTTTTTTTATTATTTTTTTTATCATTTTTAAATTTAGAAATCATGAAGGCATCACAGCAGGCAATAGAGAGAGGAGTAAAGGATTGTGTGTTCATCGATTACAAACGGAGGAGCGGCCATTTTGATGTGACAACTGTTGCATCAATAAAGGAGATCATAGAGAAGGTAAAATATTCTGCTGCATGCCAGCGGAAGGGTAACTTTCCAGAAGATGCTTCAGATGACAGTCTGATACAAAATCTGATATTGCATTTCTTGTTAGTAGTGGTGCTTGATTAATGCATCTACAGCCATGTAATGATAGTTAGAAAGTGAACTACTTTATCAAAGTGGAACTATTATTATACATGCTGATCCATAATCTCATAATCTTTAGTGTTATTGAATTATGAAAAAACTGTCCAAATAACTTGATTTCTATTTCAAATCACAGTCACTCAATGTCTGGCAGAAGTAGACCCACCTCTTGATCTTTTTCATCTTTTATGTTACAGCCACAAACTATATTTTATTTAAATTTTAAGCCATTTTACAAATGAAAAACTGAAAGCCCTTTTGAGTCAGTAAGAACAACTCTTAGCTTAATTTTTAGCTGGTAGTATATTCTTACCATTGGTATGTTTACATTTTTACGAAGTGTAAACTAGTTAGTGGCATATCCTTTTGCAGGGAAGTAAGTATGTTTAAAATTCCTATTTTTTCTTCTTTTTTGCTCTCCTAAGTTAATAAATCAATAAAATTAAGGTCATGTTTCATATAGCACATTCCCAACAGGTCTAGCTGCCCACATTCTTTAGCTGAATGTTTACCAGCATTTTACTTTAACCATCCTCCATTCCTCATCCAATTCTTTGCTTTCATTCTCTCATAGGACTGTCACTGCTTACTTGACATTGCTCCTTACGCCATCGAACGTCTTCACAGCGTTCACATCTATCCAATCGTCATATTCATTCGCTACAAAAACGCAAAGCAAATAAAGTGAGTAGTCCCGCAGCCACAGAGGAATGTTGGTTCACTTTTTTTCTTGCATGAAGATTTGTCTGCTCCTTGTCGAGCCTGATTTGTATTTCTGCTGCAGGCGCTGTTTACTCATTATTATTCAAGTTCAGTTCATGAACTGAGTTTAGTCTAAATAGCTTGTCTTTGGGTAATTGATGGTAGAATGACTTGCTAATTTATTCAGAGAAAAATCTGCTTTATTCCTATTTTTTGGTTTAAATTGATACAATTTCTTTTTTTATTTTGTTTTCTTCAAGATAATTGTCTTGAGAAATAATAATTTGGATAAGTTTTGCTGTATTTTTATTCAAATCCATGTTGCTTTTAAATGACAGACTTGCAGTAACCATACTTTTTCATTACAATGTAATTTATTAGAGTTTAATTTAAAAGACTAAATCATGTTAGCTATTGTCAACAATTGAAAAAAATATTGTTTTTCAGTTGTTTATATATGTAAAGATGATTTGTATAAAGGGAATTAATTGAAAATTTGAAGGTTTCCCCTTCATTGCACTTGATTTGGAATTTATAAATTTATAATACTAACAAAAAGTGGGAAATAATTTCTAAGGTTTAAAGAAAAGTTTAAAAGGTCCAAAATATATTTGGACGTCGCTGTATTCCTAACTGACCCATAGCCATATCTATGTCTTCCACCGGCTTCAGATTTGATCAGCTGAGAATGTTTTAAAGAAGCCTCTTTGTTTTTAATTTTTATAATCGCATGGAAAGATTAAATCTGTTGAACTCCCGGCATGTTATTTTTGCACACAAAGGCATAAGCACAGACACAAATGAGGACAAGCTTAGGTTGGACAGCAACATGCTTTCAAGGCCTCTACCCCCCCCCCCCCCCCCCCCACACACACAGAAGGCCTTAGATTTATGAGGGTGTGCAGCAGTCAAACGTGGCCGAAATTGATTCCTGCTAAGCCTTCAATGTCATCAGCTGAGTGCCAGCTGTCCTGGCAGGGGCCTCCTGGAGCATGTTGCGTGGGTGGCTGTAATTTCCACAGAAGCGTGGCCCCACCTGGACCTTTTAGAGCAGCTGACAAAAGCTTGAGGTTTTCAATGTGACCTTATAGTCAGGGAGGCGACAGTAGACCAAGCTCACAACACGGCTTGATAGAAAAGGAGCTTTAGTTTAGATAAGGTCCGTTATTCAATGTTTTACAAGAAAATGGCCAGAAATGCTTCTTGAGAGAATTTATATAATGATAAAAAAAAGTTTTTAATATTTTAGAGTTGATGTTGATACATTTTTTGATGTTTTTTATTTTTATTTTTTTTACCCTGACAGAAAAGAGATAAAATCAACTCTCGGGAATGTTTCAGGTTATCAGTTATTTCAATTGAGATATTACAGTTTTTTTTTTTTTTTATCTAGGATGTAAGTCCTTGATTTTGGAGTAATCAACACTAATGGAAACTGGTGACATTGCTTTAAAGAAAGCTTTTTTCCAGATTCTTGCACTAAACTACACTGCTCAAAAAAAAAAGGGAACACGAATACGACACGATATAACTTAAATCAAATCAAACCTCTGTGAAATCAAACTGTCCACTTAAACCCTTGTTACACCTTGATGATTTAGCCAGCTTATGCCTGACATCCCAGAATCTCCTAAAACGCTGGCATACACTGAGCTTTCTATGTACTTTTTTTCAATGTTGTGCGTATACATAACGTATTCATAGCAAGTCCAGAACTTCTGGCCAACGGCAGCCCAACTTGTGCATAACGCAAGGCAGCATAAAGCCCATGAAATGATGCACTAACCAGTGTCCTCAGGGGGCAGCAATGTGCCCGGAAGCGCCTGGCCTGCATAAAAATATTTCTTTGATCGAGGTATAAACTTAGCTTCTGTTTATTACCCGCCAAAAAGTACAATTTCTAAAGAAAGAAGGTGTGCACTGCAGTCACAGCAGATGCAGCCTCATGTCTACTAGGACGTTTGTCGGTCGTGGGTGTGAACGCAGGGAGGATCCATCATACTCACCTTCATGCTCACCCTACGATGGCAGTGCAGTCTGGAGGAGAACTAAAAGTTTCCTCCACTGAAACCCCCTTTCTATACCAAACGCTGCAATTATACAGTAGCTGTACGTTAGAGTCACGTTCAGCGGTCGTCTGGAACACGGTAAATACATTAGTATGCGTTGGAGATAAGTTCTTGATAAGTTGCGCATAAATTATGCACAAGTTACTCATAGCTTCTGGACAAGCTGGACTCCATGACTTATGAGTAACGTACACTTAACGTATGTCAACGATCACATGACTTACTTGTAACTTATGCCCCATGTATGGCATATGCTGGTATGTCAAGAAATGCTCAAAATTTCTTGACGTACTTGCCGTATGTCCACGTGCTTCAATGTGCTCATAACTTATATACACACATTACACACACCACAACTTATCCAATGTATGCCCATGTTTTTGCCAGATTTTTTGTATGTCAGTTATACGCTGTCTAAGGCTCCGTTCACACTGCAGCCTGAAGTGAACCAAATCTGATTTTTTTTTTTTGACCCATATGCGACCTGTAACTCATCTTTTCATGGTAAACACAGATCTGATTTTTTTTTTCTTTTTTTTTTTCTCTCAATGCGACCCAGACCACTTGGCTATGTGGTCCTGAATCCGATATAAATCTGATCTTTTCAAATGTGACCTGTGTGTGAACGGCCAGGTCGCATTTATCCGACCTGAACACCATTAATACCCAACAAAAGTCACTATTCTGGGTCTCGCTATGAAGAAGCAGCAAGAAAACAACAACCATGCCAGAGGATAATGCGGAGAGCAGTATTTTTGTTTAACCATATTGAAAAGATTGTGTTGTTATGGTTGGAAAAGTTCGCTAGATGCGCACCGGCACTACCATCCATGTTTACTTCTGTAAACACAGAGCATGCTGACTTGTGACATCATTGCTTCCTCTACTTCGCATTTGGGACACTTGCGTTGCATGACTGCAGTTCACACAGGAGATCACATACAAGTCGCATATATTTGGAAAAGTGAACGGCAGCGCAACAAAATCGGAATTGAGCATTTAGGGCTGCAGTGGGAACGTAGCCTAAATCATCAAGGTGTGACGGGGGCTTTTAGGAAGCAACACTCATTAACAATCAATTTCACATGCTGTTGGGCAAATGGAATAGACAACAAGTGAAAATTCTTGGCAATTAGTAAGACAAACTCAATAAAGGAGCTGTTCTGCAGGTGGCAATCACAGACCACTTCTCAGTACCTATGCTTTCTGACTGATGTTTTAGTCTCTTTTGAATCAATGTTAGTGGTGCCTCCCACTTGTGGTAGCATGTCCAACTGGCGGGTGGTTTAGTCCAGGTCTGGGAGAAGTTCCCTCAGGGGACCGTCCACCACCTCATCAGGATGATGCCCAGGCCACATATGGAGTTCATACAGGCACATGTATGACCACACACTGTGCTGAGCCTCATTTGGACTTGTTTTAAGGACTTTACATCAAAGTTGGATCAGTCTGTATTGAGTTTTTTTTTTTTTTTTTTGTACTTTATTTTGTGTGTGACTCCAAATCCAGGCCTCCGTTGGTTAAAAAATGTGATTTGTGTTGTCAGCACATTCTACTTTATACAGAACAAAGTATACAAAGAGAATATGTTAATAGATATTTTCATTCAGCTCGTGGGTGTGTTTGAGTGTTCCCTTTATTTTTTTCAGCAGTGTATTTTCCAATGCTCGACATCAGGCAGAAAAACTCCATAATGCATTCACTTTCAGTTCTGTTTATTCAAACATCTTCCATTAAAACCCAGATAAACTACGAGTTCAGACAAGAGGCTTATTGCCTTTCTGGAGGAGCTGCACGTGTAAAATAGGAGAATCTGTTGATAGGGAAAAGTGCTGTCTAAGCCATCAGTCTGGGTTGTGTGGAAGAATGGCAAGGAAAAAGCCACTGCTTAAAAAATGTCTGATTTTCATTTTGTCACAAGTCATATAGGGAAACTGAACTTATATTGCAAGATGCTCTGCTTAGTTGATACTCACTGCATAACATGATGGTGGCAGCATAATGCTGTGGTGTGGCTTCTCTTTAGCAATTAAAATTCAGTCGTTAGAAAAAATATTTGTGCTTTTAAACATTGCTGTTTTTTTATGTTCTGCACTGTTTCTGCAGCTATTTATAGATATATGGTGAACAGTTTGTGTATATTTTCTCGTCAGGGAGCAGAAGGATCCTCTCTACCTGCGGGATAAACTCTCACAGAAACATTCCAAGGAGCAATTTGAAGCAGCACAGAAAATGGAGCAGGAGTACAGCCGGTTCTTCACAGGTTGGTTAATCTAAGAAATGCTCGTCTTCCTCATCTGATGGGGGTCAAAGATATATATATTTTTTTATTATCTAGGGCAGCAGACAGTCTGAAACACACAACTGTCCAGATGATTAATGACTTTATGAAGAGGGATTTGGCAAGAAACGCACCATCACCGATTCTTTCAACCGGGAAACTGATTAATTGCCAATTTTCTCAAAAAGAACAGCAGAAACCACAGTTTTAAAAGCCAGTAGAGATAATTGAGGTGAAGCTAAAAGCGAACCTGTTCCTGTAAACTCCAAACATTAGAGCTTCAATTATTTTGACTCCAAACTCCCACATCGCTGGAAACTAGAAAACCTTTTTGGCTGTTAATTAAAAATGTAAAGCATTGATTCTCCAGGAACTGCAGTTAGCTGTATAGATATGACGTTTTAGCCACTCTTTAAAAATATGAAAGACAAGAGAGCTTTCAATTAAAGTACAAAATAAGTATGGTGATCTCATCTTGGCAGTAGGAGTAAAGAAAGAGCAGCATGGAAAGAGAGTTAAAAAAGATATTAAAGTTCACCATAGGAACTTTTTTTTTTTCCTGAATAATTTGTCAAGTTTTTAGCTTTCCAATAAAGCCGTGATTATTTTCAAACATATTTACACATAAAATAAAATTGATGTCTGTTGTGGTGAGACTGTAATGGACTTGTTTATGAATATTGATCATACTTTATGTGAATTCTTACCAAAACAGGCTGGTTTGATTAAAATATTTAACGATATGGGGATCTCTGGTGTGGGCTTACTTTAAATGTGAATACAAAGTGATCTCCAGGTTCACTTATATTAGGCCACCTTATTTTCTTTTAGTGTTAAAAATATATATATTTACTGCTAAGTTGTTTATATGTTTATTCCTGCCACCTGTAGAAATACTGTTTAGTCTTTATGGAGAAAGCATCATAGTTCCTATTAGTGCGTGGGGTGATCTAACAATACAGGGAAGAATATATACAAGAAGAAGAATATATACAAGCAAACATATATTTTGTGATTTAGATGGGTTAATATGACATGAACCTAGCTTTATGCCTAATGAATTAGATTGAAATGCATTTTAGGACTCTAAATTGTAATGGTAATATTAACCAGACAGAAAAATGTGAAGAACCTTCTGGTAAAGTTCTGTAAAAAGCCATAAAATAAACGGAGTTGAAGGAAGAGTCATATTTTAAGAAATAACTGTTTTCACAAAATTGTATTCAAGGCACAGTGTGTGATTATGGTTCTCGTTCCGGTGCCATTTAGCAAATCACATGTGTATATCTATACGTTTTGACCTCCTTACCCATCCTTGTGCCTCTAAGATAAACTAAAGAACTTGCCCAGCCTATGAACAAATGGATAAAGGAAATTACCATCAGAAAAAATTAAAAAAAAACAAAAATCAGAGTTCCTACAGAATTAAAAGGTTAAATTAAAAAGAAAGGCATTTTTGGTTTGCAATCATGCTTATGCTATTAAAACTGGATTTATTGAAGAGTTTTAGACATCTTAACTGGAGGGCAAACGTTTTTTTTTTTTAACTCAGTTTTTAAGTTTAGATTTTTTTTATTCTAAAGTATGATCTTCCAACTCCAAACTTTACCCAAACTCAGTGGACTGAGATTTGTTGCTGCCAATCAGAATATTTAAAGGTTTTTGATGCGATCAGCTGGTTTCCTTAGACAGAAACTTTCAACCAATCTGACTGTACTGTCTCTGTAAAGTGCATTGAGATGACATGTTTGAATTGGTGTTATAGATGCATAAACTCAATTGAAACTGAATTAAAGGTTGCAAGCTACTTTCATTTTCAATAAAAACTGAACAAATTCTTATAAAGGAATCATATGGAATCAGGTTACCTACTCGTACTAGGGAGTGGTGGCCTCCTTAGATTGTGAGTTCGAGCCCCACTCCCACAGACTGACACTTTGGGTCCCTGAGCAAGACCCTTAACCCCACAATCCTCCATGGGTGCTGCACAATGGCAGCCCACTGCTCCCCAAGGGGACGGGTTAAATGCAGAGTTGTCCAATGTGAGATCAATAAAGTTCAATTATTATTATTAGTCATACTTGCCTTTACTTTGAAAATGTAACATGAAAGACACCACATTTGACTTGGATGCTCATTATGTAAATATTCCTCCCCTACCCCTCACTGTGTTGCAGGAGTTGTCCAAGGAGGCAGTGTTTCCTCCATCTGCACTCAGATTCTGACCATCGTGGAGCACGAGCAGAACAAAGTCCTCTGGATTCCAGATCGCGCACCATAGAGATTACATCTAGATCTCACATTTATGTAGCATTTGTTTAACAGAAGGTACACTATAAACATCCGTTAGGGTTCACAGCTTACTTGCTTTTACAAACATCAAGATTGATGATGGTAAAGAAAAAAAAAAGCAATATTCCCACTACATTAGTGATGTACTGTGCAGCAAATAGATTTGTTTACAGTAGTATTTGATACTTGAATGTTCTGTCCTTCCTCTGTTCTGGTAGCACTCCTGATTTCTTATTCTGACTATAAATATTTTGGACCAGAGTGAGGAAGGTATTCCTGAAGTGATAGACTAGACTGTAATGTTCATTTCCTTCTCTGTATTTATATGCATTTTCCTCTCATTTTATTTATCTAACCACATTTTTTAATCATTAAGAATATTTTCTATTTGTTATTTTTTTTTTTGTATAGGAAACATTTCTTCCTTTTTAAAGATCCCCCCCTTTAATTTGTCGTGGAAAAACATTGTGCCAGGCCAGATTTTATTTGTTTGTCTCGAAAAGACTGAACAATTTATTTCCTCTTGTGTCCTTCTGATTCTACCAATATATATATATATATATATTTCTTGTCAAATTTAAATGCAAAGAAGGGACTATTTTTATTTTGAATTTATAGATGGGTTTCTGTTGAACACATTCATGTGATCCTGCCACATTTTTTTCTTTTAGATAAAAAATTAAGAGAAGTTAAAGGTTTACCTTTCCTTAAAAATATTAAAATATGATTGACAAACCACAAGTATTCTGTAGTTTTACTATAATGTCTGCTTTATTATTTGATTAACTCAAGGGGCCTTTTCATGAAACCGTTAAATAATTGCCCACCAGAGGGAGCACCTTACCCCACTTTACTACAGGTGTTTACTGTGCATAAATACAGTGTACTTTCGGTGAATCTCCTAAAGGAAACAAAAAGGGTGCCAGTTCTAAAAGTGTGTTTTCCTCAATGAAGGCACATGCAAGCCTTTAATTAAATAACAGAATATTATCAAAAACAAACTTCTGTAATTTGATTAATAGTGAAACTTAACGTTTTTTAGATTCATTACAGAGAGCACAGCTAATAAAAACTCTAAAATCAGTCCTGCAGAAAAATAATTTTTAAGAAGGGAAAGTTTAGCTATGGAAGGTTGTTCAGCAGATAGTCTAAGGACGTCTATAAGGAGATTAAAGGGCAACATAATAATGGAAGTTAAGTGGAAAACTTTGAAATGTTGTAATACCTGTCATTTGCTGCATTATTGGTTTTAATCTGATCATCTAGTATAGATAGCAAAAAGGGAAACCCCAGAACAATTTGTTATTGATCGTCAAGTTTTGGCTATGGCTGAAATAAAAATGTTTGGTCCAATTAAAAATAATATAAAATAAATCTAGGCCTTATTAAAACAGGTCGGACTATCATTTTGAAAACTCTCTAACTTAATTTTCCACCTAAAGATATTTTTGCTTTCCCTAGAGCAAAAAGCGTGACATTTTCTCCATCTTCCCAAATTAGAAAATGATTTACTAGTTTAAATTTCAATATAACTATTCAGATTAACTCATGATATAGTTTTATCACTGAATGGTGCATTTAAAATATTCCTGTTAATTTATTTGATAATGGTTCCAAGGTATGCTGATTGTTGGTGTGGATTTATTCCCAAATTCCTGCGTAAAAAACGTTGGTTGCTTTGAAAGTGGCCTAATTATCTAATTTTTTGAGAAACGTATTATTCTTCCGGTCTGAATTAGATTAACTGTAATAAATATAACGTGGGGTAAAAGGTATAGAATAAGTTTTTAGGGTGGGTGGCCATTGCCCTACCCGGGTCCCCCTTGGTGGCGCCACTGAACAAAAAAAAAAAAGCCTTTTATGTTTTAAAATGCGTTTAAAGGATTTTTTAAAAGTATGCAGACTTAAAAATGTTTTATAGCTACAGGTGATGAAGATGTTTTGATTTACTGTCTGTAGGCCCCAAAGTTAGTCATAAAACATTGATGAATCGCTCCCTATAAATAACTGGAACATCTACGTCTGCTGTTGAAGGCTCCTCCCCCTCTCCTGCTACCTGTAAATCTGCGATGCCATCTTCCAACAAATGGATGAGACAGACTGCCAGAAGAAAAGAAGAAAAAATAACGATGGATGTTGTATTTTTTCTTCCGTATGATTTAGATTTTCACCTTTTTGAATAATTGGAGGAGCGCATTGAACAGCGCGCAGCCGAGGATCGGCTGAAAGCTGCGCCGTAGGTGGAGGAGTGAGTGAATCATCGGTGGAAGAGGGCACAGCTGCATTTCTTTTATTAATCAGTGACATTAAGAAACGGATAATGAATACAGGAAGGACTTTATGCTTTCTGGAGCTTGTACATAATGTGATTTTTACGCACAGATCACACGGATGACGCGCAACTCCAGCCGCGAACGCGCATCGTGAGGCGCACCTTGTTTTCAGAAGTTTTTTATTTTTTATAATTATTCTTATTATTCCCGGTCTCTGTATTTCATCTATCTTTAAACAGTCCTCGTATCGGAGGTAGTAGGGACCGGAGCGGTGCTTCAACATGCCTGAGCCGCTGTGGCATCAGGGGGCGCTGGCTGGAGCTGCCCGACGCGCCTGAATCTCTCTGTTTGACTTCAACTGTTTGCTTTAAGGGTTCTGCATGTGAACAGAAGTCCATGATGGCGAAGAAAGGAGACCAATCGTTCCGCAGTCTGGTGATCCCGTTCTCGCCCGACGTGCCCTGTGACAGCAGCGGGCAGCGCATGTGGTGGGCTTTCCTCGCGTCCTCCATGGTCACTTTCTTTGGGGGGCTCTTCATTATCCTCCTGTGGAGGACCCTAAAGTATCTGTGGACAGTCTGCTGCCACTGTAACGCTAAGAAGAAGGTAGGTTTAAAGCCACACCGGGTGGGAAACTTATCACAGGGTTTGATTCCTTGTGAGTCGAACAGCAACAGATTATCCAGTGGGTTTGATTTGTAAAATAGGCTTGTAATTAAATCAGTGCTTCTGCCCCCATCAACAGAATAAATTTTTTTTCCCTCCTAACACAGGGGAAGGTAGAGTCTTATTCAAACAGGTCGATCTGATCATAATCCAAAGTTGCACAATCCTAAACAACATGTTTGCTGAACTTAAGCAGATAATTCTGATTTAGTTCTCGAATATAACTTTAACCCTCAGTGCTTTGGAAAAAATATCAAATTATTTGAAGCATTTTGTCCTATTTCAACTAATAACTACTGTGGATTTCCACACAGAAACATTTCTTAATTTGAATTGGGCAAAAATACTACATTTTCTTTGCAAAATAAATAAATAAAGCCCAACCACAGGTAGATTGGATGAAGAAATGTATTGCACTTCTTGCATTATCGAGCTACATTGTCTTCCCATCAAATGTACTCAGCTTCTCTCAATGAGAAAATCTTCACCGTAGAATAATACTGCCACCACCATGTTTTTCTGTAGCGATGCTACTTTTAGGGAAAAAAAATCCATCTTACTTTTTCATAATTTAAAATGTTCCAAAAGTGGTACAAGAGCACCTGTTTTACATGAAAGCATCCCCCCAGCATCATACTGCTACCGCCATGTTTCACAGTGGAAATGGTATCTACAGGATGAGGTTTTCCACACATGTATATGAAAAGCTTTGTTTTGCTCCCTTCTGATTCGAAACATCCTTGATCTGTCTTGTCTGTTTTTTTTGTTTTTTAAATCGTAGTGATAATGTTTATTCATTAATGTTTTTGCAAGGCTTTCATGTGTTTAAATGAGACTGGATATGTACTTAAACTAAATTAGACTGAGGTGGACTCTTATCAACTTGTTAGCTTGTGAAGCAACTAGTTGCAAAGGATTTTATTTACTTAACTGACAGTTTCAAAATATATGTGAGTTTGAACAGTTTGTTGCCCCTCTAATTCACAATTACTATTGGTCGGATCTGTTAATTAAACCCTGATTAAAATATGTTGTAGTTTATGGTTGAAATGTGAGAAAAACGGTAGAGAGCTTTAGTGATTTTTCCTTTTTCCCCCCAAAATTTTGATTACCTTATGCCAAAAGGTTTTTTCTGATTCCAAGAGAGACATGCAAAACCATTTAGATAATGGTCATTTTAAAATATGCCACATGTGCTACAATGTATATATTAAATTAGAATTAAGATAAAACATTGGCAGTAAAACATCAGCTGAAGCTTTCAATATTTTCTGAAAATGAAGCTTTACAGGTTCAGGTGCTGTTGTAGTTTTTTAAAGTTGATTCTTCCCCATTTTCTGTATGTACTGAAGGTTATAAGAAGTTATAAGATTCATCCAAGTATGACTGTGGATGAATCTTAATGTTCCCACATAAACAGCTTCCACATGCATTACAGTTCACTTAATGCTGACACTAACTGTTTAGGGGGATTGTATATAATAATGAATATTTGTTTTGGGGGGCCCTTTCCCCAATAATTTTAGGAATTTCTTAAATGGTTGCCTCTTCTCTGACTTCCTCATATTTAACACGTCAAAGGCTTTCAAAATGAAACCCTTAGTAGCCCAAATACACAAAAGCCAAAATTTGAAGAGTAGAAAAAAAACTCATATGCCGTAGTGACTATCACCTGTTACTTGGTTATCACTATTGCATCTGTCTGTTCTTAAATATTCCAAGCACCTAAAATCATGAGGAATGTTATCCCCAAAGGGGAGTTTGATTGAATAGCAGCTCTCATTATGCAGGTTATTTAGGCGTTGCATATTAACCATGCATCATATCTTTAATAAAAATGTTCTGCATTTTAATTATCTTTATATAAAGTGAAACCCCTGAATTATCCTCCACTGTGGGGGTGGTCTAAACCATTATCATCCCAGAAATGCTTCCTAAGATTTGAGATTTCAGGACAGCTGACGTTGACTGTGGGTGGTGCGTGTTTAGGACTGTAAGGTGGACTGATCAGACTTAATATTTGGCTTTTTCCGATCATTTGCTGATAAATGAGGAATTTGTTTCAGTGTTTGATCGTCCTTTTATTTTACAGAAAAGGAAGAAGAATTGAGATGAGCTGTGATTCAGGATGTTTATATAATCATTATACTGATTGTAATAACTTATATCCCCCATTCTGCTTCTGTCAGTTATTTTAGTACATTTTAGTCTTTCTTCAACTGACAGGCTTTTAGATTTTTCCTTTCACGACTTATACATACACTATATTGCCAAAAGTATTTGCTCACCCATCCAAATTATTGGAATCAGGTGTTCCAATCACTTCCATGGCCACAGGTGTATAAATTCAAGCACCTAGGCATGCAGACTGTTTTTACAAACATTTGTGAAAGAATGGGTCGCTCTCAGGAGCTCAGTGAATTCCAGCGTGGAACTGTGATAGGATGCCACCTGTGCAACAAATCCAGTCGTGAAATTTCCTCGCTCCTAAATATTCCACAGTCAACTGTCAGCTGTATTATAAGAAAATGGAAGTGTTTGGGAACGACAGCAACTCAGCCACGAAGTGGTAGGCCACGTAAACTGACGGAGCGGGGTCAGCGGATGCTGACGCGCATAGTGCGAAGAGGTCGCCAACTTTCTGCAGAGTCAATCACTACAGACCTCCAAACTTCATGTGGCCTTCAGATTAGCTCAAGAACAGTGCGCAGAGAGCTTCATGGAATGGGTTTCCATGGTCGAGCAGCTGCATCCAAGCCATACATCACCAAGTGCAATGCAAAGCGTCGGATGCGGTGGTGTAAAGCACGCCGCCACTGGACTCTAGAGCAGTGGAGACGCGTTCTCTGGAGTGACGAATCGCGCTTCTCCATCTGGCAATCTGATGGACGGGTCTGGGTTTGGCGGTTGCCAGGAGAACGGTACTTGTCTGACTGCATTGTGCCAAGTGTAAAGTTTGGTGGAGGGGGGAT